CTAGGCAGATGTTTCTCTGAGGAGGTGGGGGTTCAAAGGAACATTACTTTTAGAAGCTAGTCTTCCCGCAGACAGTAACGTAAATATATTGAATGCAGTATGTGTAGAAAGGACGGAATTGTGGAAACCAAGTCCTTTCTTTAGTAGAGACGCTCGTGGTATCTAACTCTTGGCTTTTGTGTGGTTGATACTAGGTCATTAATTGCTCTGAGTTTCATTCTTCGTGTATGACTTTGTATACTGTGTTTAGATTTTTCTTCAAAACCAGGGAACTTAGCGTAGCTATTAAAAAATATGCAACTGAAGGGATTTCTCTTATAGGCATGGAAGGAGGTACTGCATTGATTTTGAATCCTTCTATTTAACAATGAATATGGTGAATCCGGCTCGGATGAGTATTGAGTAGTAAAGAAGAATATGGTGAGCCCATTTATTGTAAAAATAGTGTGTGTGTCTCTATGCTTCAGCTTTTACTTTCTTCTCTCCTTATAGAATCTAAACTAGCCGTTCAGCATCTGAGAGAACTTTCTTTGATTTGATTTACTCAAATAAAGAGTAAATTGCTGCATCTGGTTTGCCTTGGAGTTTCAGTGTTGTTTTTAGTTTCCAGATTCCTGCAATGTTATGGCTCTTTATTGCTCTAGTGAGAGGATGAACTATATGCACATGGCCTGAATTTAAATTAGACTCGTAAGTCCCTAGGATTGTGACGGGAAATTTGAGCTAGAGCTAACCCTGGACCATGTGGGCTGAAATCTTTGATTGTCTCATCTTGATGAAACCATTGGCATCGAGGACTTAGGCCTACCATTATTTGTTTCTGGTAAACCAAGTAAATTTTGCTGTGAATAATATCCGGTCGAAAAGAAAGGAAGTAGTGTACTACAGATCTGGTCTGATAAAATATCAATATGAATTTGATTCTAGACAAAATTCTCGTTTTATCGTGCGACAAATATTGCCGACATTTAGCTGCGTATTGTACAGTGTTTACAAAAGTTATTACCACCGCCCTATCTGTTGAAAAGTAAATAAATAAAATCTCCCAATATTCGTCAATGGTTTTACCAAGTCAACTTTAGGCCTTTATTTTCAGAAAGTGAGAGTAATTCAGATTCCCCTTCCCTTATCTTTTATCTTGCAAGAACAACAACAAAATATAATAGGATAAACTACGAATTTAGTACCTAAACTATCAATCTTGATTTATTTTAGTACCTAAACTATCAATCTTGATTTGTTTTAGTACCTAAACTTTTAATTTTTTTGAAATCATATTTAACATTTAGTTTTCATTTTATTTTAGTATCTGGCGTTAATACGTTTACTACATAAACTATCAGTTTTGGTCCATTCTAGTACCTAAACTTTTAATTTTTTCAAAACTTAAAGTTAAATTTTAAACGAGTGTACTAAAATGAAACAAAAACTAAAGTTTTTATCGGTGGGGTACTAAAATGAAACAAAAACTAAACTTTAGGAATGGTTTTGAAAGAACTGAAAGTTTAGGTATTAAAATAGATTAAAATTGATAGTTTAGGTATCAAACTTGTAATTTACCCAATAAAAAATCATTTATCGACCAATTTTAAAGTATTTGATTCTTTGTTAACAAAAGTATATAATATATTAGACAATATGGAGGCAAGGATGGAGTAGTTATTAGGGTTTGAACTTGTGCTTTCATGCTTCACCATCTCTTTTATTTTAGTATATGCGTTACTTCTAAAGGTGTAGAATCGATCTACAACTACTAGTGGTTTCTAAAATCAATAGAGAATCAAAATATACCTCATTTTTCATTTAACTTTTTAAAACTTTTATGTATTAATTTCTGATTTTACTAATCGATCATAATTTTTAAATCATAGATTATTCAAAAACTAACACCAATGTGACATTTCATTGTCACACCGTACTTTATCTCTAAGCTTTTGGCAATTTTGCCGTGTGCTTTGTTCCAAAGCTTCGAAAGAGACACAAATGGTTTCGTTTATCTTATTTTAGTAATAACCATACATGAAAACAATCCATTTTTAATGTAACCTCAATGACGTGTTTAAATTATTTTTCTTGTTTGAATTGATATAATATAGAGAATAATTTTTAATATTTAACCTTTTTCAATATTTTAATAATTTTGGGTGTTTACAAGGTAATATTTGTTCAATTTTTTTTTAATATTGATAATTTGGACCCATAATCTTTAGAGAAAATGTCATATTTAACTATTGAGATCAATTAATAAATTATTGTTTCAGTTTTTTTTTTTAATATAAAGAGAAAGGTATATGTAAGGTATGGTATTATTTACGATAGAGTGAAAGCCAATCATTGTGGGTGGCACTAGCTCAAACATTGAAGGCATAAGCTATAAGGAGAAGGGGAAAGATGGATCCATGGAGGACGGTGCTTCTAAATTCTGATTAGGTCGACTAACCACGTGAATGCCACCTTCAGGAGGCCCTTCTCATCATTGTGATTACATGCACATGGGTGTTTATATTATTGTTGTTATTCTTTGGTATACGGGTTCGAGCACCAAGAATATTAGAGATATGAACATTCAATATTAAATGGTTGAGAGTTTATCTTTGAATAGATACCGATCAAATGATCTCCCCTAGATATGTCTTCGTTTTTTTCCGGTCAAACCAACGGATGTTTAAGAGTTTAAAATAATAACATGGATATTTGGCAAGATGCCTGCATTAAGACAGTGCAGCGTCCACTGCGGTGTGTGTTTTCATTAATTCTTAATAATTGTTTTCTAAGAACCCTAACTATTTATACCACGAGCACGCTGTCATGAAATTAGGGTTTCTTGCCAATTGTTTAAAAGAAAATAAAAATAGAAAAATTGTAGATGGAAATGAGGCAGTCTAATTACGGTTTCTGTCCTTGTCTCTTTTATGTTTAAGCTTTTCCACTTTTCTTTGTGAGGGTACTAGTGTTACATAATTTTCATTTTAAGCCTTTGATCGAACCCTTGGGGACCCCGAAACGTCAATCCAACGGCCTATGATGAAAGGAGACCAACTCATGCAGAGCCAATAGCAATCTTTCATCTCTGTCTTCTGTTATTATAATATTTTATTGGGTAAAGTACACAAATTATCTCATGACCATAGAATATTATTTTGTTAAGTCATTTGAATATTAAAAATTATGAAATGGTTATTTGACTATAGAATGTTATTTTATTAAGTCCATCTATTATTAGAAGTTACAAAATTGTCACCCAACTATTCATTAAGTTCCAAACTCATCCTTTTCCTTTAAAAATTTGATGGTTGTGTAAGTTAGACGTTAACATGATGACTGTCACAACCCTATTTTTTTTTTTAAAAAATATAAATTAATTGCCTAATTTGGGGACTAAATTGTAAGTTTTAAAAAATTTATAGCCCGGTTTAGAAGATGTAGGAAGTTCATGGACTTAATCCTGAATTTTTCACATTTTTCTGGTCAGTTAAAAAAATAAAGTTGGTGGCAAGATTTCAAACCCCTGTCCCATGGCCGCCCATGCCCTAGTCGTTTAGGCTAAGGTACTGTTTCGGATATTTTTATTTAATATAAATGTTATTTGTTAAGTTTAGAAGAGCACCCAAAATCCCCAAATTTTCCAACCCCAATCTCTAGCCACTCCCTGCCGACCCTTCTTGATTCTCCGTCGTCTGATCGTTGGGGTTGTCACTGCCCGACCAGAGTGATTGGCAACCTCCAACGACCAGAACCCATCTAGCCCCTAACCGTCAGATGTCACCGTTTAACGTGAATTGTCGTTCGAATGCTCGTCGGGAAACCAAGCGTCCTCTGTTGTTTTTTTTTTGTAGTTTCGTCGCCGTCCAACCATCGGTGAGTCTCACTGCCTGCACCAAGTGAACCAGCTTAAAGTTTCGCTTCTATTGGTACCGATGGCGTTGACTCTACCATCCCCGTCGAGAGGGGTAAGCGAGGAGATGTTTTGGAAGTTCGTGAAAACTATCATCCGGCGTTCTTCATTAGAAAAGGACATCGACAAGCGACTTATTAAGCTTTGTGCTTCAAATCAGGAAAAATTCACGTCGAACCGACGACCATAGCCGCCACATACGTCGCTCCCTGCGCGTGGGTATCGTCTACCAACCAGGTGGCTATTGATCGGTTAAACCGGTCTGAACCGGTTGGGTCGGTCTGAGCCGAGCCAAGGCATTGACCGTTGACTAGCTATTAACCGTCGTTGGCCGACTGTTAATTTTTTTGGAAACACCTATTCTGATGTTTTTCAACGTCTTGAGTTTGTTTTTTAGGTCTATTTCGCAAATTCGAACTCGATAAGTTGTTTTTCACTGATTAACCTTCATATTTGATATGTTTTCGCAATTAAACTCTGTTTCTGATGTAATTTCTGTTTATATGTATCCAATATATTATTGGACATTTGATTCAAGTTTGAGAGCGATCAAATAGAGTTTAAATGTTCGATCGATGTAGCTTGAGAATCGAGGTAATACTTTACTAGCCTATGCATGCTTTACGATACATGTTGGTTTTGATAAGTGCATGTAATTAGGGGGCATGTAAGTTGTATCATGTTTTTATATTCGAGTCTGGAACTTATTTTATTATTGGATATTGCTTAATTCTATTTTTAATATATACATGATTTTTTGAACTTATATTTTATCTATAAATTATTTTACGATTTTAAATTGATTGACAAAAATTTTAAATTTTATAGGATTTTCAGTCTAGGTCGCTCCGGCGACCCTAATGTGACACCCCATATCGGATCGGATCACCTGTATCGGTCTGAGGGCGTTACAATGACTGAAATATAATAATTGTTTGAGATTTTAGGATCAAATTTAATCATATTACAATCAACATGTTAACATTTAATTAAAAATATCGTCAATTTTTTAACATAAAAATATGACTTTTGAACCTAATAAATTGTCCACGATCATTTTGTAACATAAAAAAAATTGTTTACTTTGATTTTGACCGAAAGTCCAATGTCTTCCCCTCTATTTAAACCCTTTCCACCTTCCATCTCTTTACCCTGTTCTCTTCCACTTCTCCGACTTGTTCCCTCTCTTCATTTGGCTGAAATGGCTGAGCAGGTGCCCTCAAAGCGCCAAAGAGAAGAAACCCAAACCTCAAACGAAGAACAAGTCGATGAAACAAAACGCCACAAGTCGTACAATCACATACTTTCTTTGCTGGAAGCAGAAGAGGATGAACCGAGCTGCCAAGACGTGTCTTCTCTCATCACCAATTTACAACAACACCTCTCTTCGGAATCCGTTTCAGACGCTCCTTGCCAGCCGACAACAGAAGCCAACGTCCAAGAGAGCCCTACGGCGGTGATGACTAACAGCGACTCCATGGTCAGCATAGAAGACTACACGACGGCAACTTCTTCCTACGAGGATTACGAGGACGGTGATAAAGAGCATGTCATTAGGCATTTGCTTGAAGCTTCCGATGACGAGCTGGGGATTCCGAATAGAGATGAAGGTGTTGTCGGCGTTGAGTACGATGAAGGAATCAACAATGGTGGAAATGGCTTTGCATGGTGTGACGAGTTATGGGAGCTTGAAGATGAGACTGCTAATTACTACACTTTGTTGCAATCTCAACTGTTCATGTAGTATTGTGGCGTGAGAAAAATGTTAAGCTGTAACTAATGGTAGGGGTAAAAATTAGAGAAATGGGAAAAGCTGGGGAGTGTGGGGGAAAATATGAAAAATTATTTTGTTATGGTTAATTCATTTTGGAACCCTCCCTCTTCTTTGAAAATATCAGGGCTTTCCCTACGTTCCTTTGTTCATTGTAAAACTAATTTCTTAAAAAAGGGGGGAAGATTACTCATATGTTGTCCGGAATTCCCTAATTGTTCCTAATTCAGAGGTCGAAATAAAAAAAGATTAGAACTTATAAACCGAAGGATAATAACAAATTTGGTAACTAAAACTTTTTTTCTCTCTCTTATCTCACTCACTCTAAATTAAATCTTTTCAATATCCTCATTAAACTTAATAAATTAAATTTTTTTTCTCACTTAGCCATTTCCTAACTAATAGAGTTATGACGTGGTTTTTTTAATTAAATTATAAATTCAATCACTAAATTTTACTCTTTCTCTTATTTCACTAACTATACTTTTAATTATTTTCAATTTAATCAGTTAACTTTATGTATTAAATTTTTTGGTCACTCCTTTGTTAACAGTAAAAAAACCATGTCACAATGTTGTTAGTGAGGAAACGAGTGAGTGACAAGAAAAACCTTATGTATTAAGTTAAGTGAGAAAATTAAAAAAAAATTAAAGTACAATATATGAAATAAGAGAGAAACAAAGTTTAGTTACCACATTTGTATTTTACCTTAAAATTATTCTATTTTACATAAAATAATAATCCAAAAACGTTTAATAATAAAAATACACGTATATCTATCAAAGAACTTTGATCGTGGAACGTTGATATTGATTCCTTTAGTCATTGGATACTTTCATTTTTTTTACTTTATTTCGGGGTAACTTTTTGTTCGTAAATGGTCCACCATATCTTACACGCTAAGCTAGGACGTGGGAGCACGCTCCAAGATTATTTGTAAGTCTAGACACATTTTCCCCTCTTTTTTTTTATTAAAGAACAGTAATATTTATTTTAAATATTATTAATTATTTGATAATAAATGTTCAATTATCCTATTATAATTATTAGTGTTTGAATATATAATTTTTAAAAATAACAACGATTCATTTAATCACTAAAATAGAATGATTTGTGCTCTTCTCCCCCTCCTTGACGTAAAAATTCGAAGATCAACACTAATTTACCTCTATATCTAGGGATGAATATTATATATATATATTTATATATTGCTTTCATTTAGATATATGGATAATTTAGTCGAAAAAAAAGTAGTAATTAATTATTGGAGCGTGGGTTGGCGTGAAGTATGATGGGTAATGATAACAAAAATGGCCAAGGCTTATACATGTATGCTTGAAAAGTGAATGCCAATTGCCAAAGCAACTTTAGGGACAGGGTGGGACCGATGGGGGTAAATAAAAAAAACGAAAAGGAAGAAGCAACTGTTGATGTCGCTGTTTGGACAATGATGGGGACCTACCTCTGGCATCAAATAATAATGCATGATGATGGATGCCGTATTGGCATGGGGTGCTCATACGCTCTATCCATATGCTCATCATTTATGGTAATACATGGCGCATCATGATGCTTAAAATCCCTATTTACAAGGATAAAATATTCATTATCAAATGATTAAGAATATTTAGTAAATATACTTAAAGAATATTTAGTAAATATACTTCTTACATGTTTTACCAATAAGTGTACAAAAAAGCTAACAAAGTGCTCTAAAGAAAGAGAGTGTCTATTCAAATAATCTTAGGATCCTAAAAAAACAAAAGTTAATAAGGACTGCCCTCATTTCACTTCCTTTTCTACGTTCTTAATACCTACGAATTTAGGACATTGTATCCTTGATAAAAGCTCGTTTTGTTTGTATAACTTGAAAAGCAATTCTATTGTTTTAGCTGGTAGAATGAGGCCATTAAAATGGCAATGCCGGTCTCCTTCAAAAGCTCTAACTAATGTCCACGAATGATATTGTCTTTCACATAACTTTGCCCCATTTGCATTCCACCACTTTTCTGCATTTTCTTCTGAGAAATGTTTCCGACTGTAGAGAAAGAAACGCACAAAATTATTGAAGGTAGATGAAAGCAACAAATGCCAAAAGCATACTTATTCAAGTGTTGTTACACTAGAGAGCATACCTAAAGCGAACATGCTTGAGAACTTTATTTCCGTTGGGCAGAGGTGACAAAGTTAAGTACAACCCTGCCTCATCTTGTATCATAATCTCTGCCCTTTTACTTTGCCCTTTGGTTCCATTGGATGTCGATACGTTGTTTGCATTGAAATTTACTTCACATGGTACACATCATGTTGGTTGCATTGGCGAACACGTGCTCGACTGTGGTATGTTTCGCAATAGGACCCGCATTATAGAGGAGGCCCTTCTGTCCAGGTGGAAGCATGTCGGTCACTTGCTCCAACTGCATATCAGTATCAGAGAAGAGTAAAGTTAGGGTGTGTGCTTGCACCACAAGAAAAAGAAATCCTCTGCTCATCTCAGAACTCAGCTCGATACTTGATAAATAAACAGTCTCTCTTCAAACAATTTAAATTGTAAGAGCATGAGCAAAGAACTCCAACCTTATCAGTGAGTGACATGATAATTTCCTCTGCTGATTTATATTTTCCAGCTTCAGTTTCTGCTCTTGCAGTCACTTCTTGTAATCGCCTTGATGTCTTTTCAAGCTCAGCTTCGAGTTGCCGTGATTTGCAAGTCAGAGCTTCAACCTGCAAGAAACTTATCATCTCATCCTTCTTATACATTTAGACAACTTAAACAGTAATCGGGAGATAAAAATGAAACAAGTCTCAATGAAAATCCACATCAGCCTTCATTGTTGTAACTGATGAATAAGATTTGAAAAGGTTACCTGTGCCCTTAAATTTATGATCTCTTGGTTGGCATTGTCATTCATTTGTTTTGAATCATCAATAGTTACAGTAGAAGATCGGTTGCTCGACTTTCCTGAAGCAGGAGATGTTGCTCGAGATGTCCTTCTAGAAATTGGTGGTAAACTTTTCCTAGAATCTCCGACTGGATAAATTGGCAGCCTTGGTGTATTAAATCCTCCAAGATGAAAATTTCCAGTTTGAGCTGGGAATATGGTCCGATTTTCGAAGTCTAATTTCAGTTCACTCCTAGAAAGCCGGCTTTCAGCCTGACTACTGGAGCCAAGACTAGACAGTCTGGAGAGTTGTGCATGTGACCTTAGAGCTAAAACTTCTTTATCTATACTCTCATCGAATTTACGAGGAATATTTCCATTTTGGGCCTTAGGAGGCAAGAAAGCAGAAAAGGGTTCTCCAGATTTTTTCAATTTAGCAAAACAATCATCACAAACTCTATATGGTTTGTTCATAATTGGAGCCAGTGATGCCTTTAGAGATTTCCTCGTTGTGCATGATTTGCAGAAGATTAGTCCACAATTATAACAGTTGTGACGCTTTCTTATGAAACCAAATGGATTTCGACAACTGGAGCACATCGATTGATCTGCACTCGGTACCCATTTATGAAGACTTAGAACTGCAGTAAAGTTGGAACCACAAACTACACTCTTAACTTGCTTATCTTTTAGAAAATCAACTCTTGTTGGTGTCTCTCTATCATCAGTGTTTCCATGTCCCAATTGCCCATTGGTGCCCTTTCCCCATGTATAAACCTCTTTTTTTGAAGTCACGACAGCAACATGATGCGATCCACAAGCAATCTCTTCAACAAATCTACCTGCAATTTTACCTCCAACCCGAGTTGGAACCTTGCCATCAACTGTACGACTTCCCAATTGACCATAAGCCGAACTTCCCATTGTATATACTTGTCCTGAGGTTGAAAGAGTAACTGTGAGATTTTGACCACAGGCAACCTGGCTGATATTGACATCAAATAGAGCATCCACACTTTGGGGGGAAAGTCTAGGTTCTCGATTGCCATGACCGAGTTCACCTTTATCTCCATCCCCCCATGTAAACAACTTTGTTGAAGAAGAGCTATCGGGACATCCATCATCAGATGATTCAGTCACTACAACTGCAGCAGTGTGCCAAGAACCACATGAAACCCTTGTTGTCCGTAATCTGCTCAAAGTTTCCACTTTCCGTAGAACGGTCGTGCTACTACGATCTCCATGGCCTAATGCACCAAAATATCCATCTCCAAATGTGAACAACTCACCTCCAGATGTCAACAGAGCTGTATGCCAAGGTCCACATGATACATAGGAGACATGCATACCATCCATGTCACTTACCCTTCTAGGTATCCAATGACTAACATCACTTCCATGCCCAAGCAAACCGGAACTGTGTGCTCCATCACCCCATGTATAGAGATCCCCCGATACCGTAACAGCGCAAGTGTGATACTCCCCGCATGCTGCAGATTGAAAATTCATGCCACGAAGAGTATCCATGAGTTTAGGTTGGGGAACATCTGCATCTGCACCGTGCCCGAGCCTGCCCCCTGATTCCTCCCCCCAACTAAAAATCTCACCCTGCTTTGTTACTATTACCGCATGGCTACTTCCACAAGCAATACCATGCACATCAAGAACCGTTGTTGATTCCATTGCCTTGGGCAGAAGAGCATCGATCTTTGTATTGAACGAACTCTCAACTTTATCCTCACCACCGCCCAGTATTCCCTCACCAACACCTTGTCCCCATATGAATATATCGACCAAGGCATCGACGTCTTCTTTACAAGAACCATGGCTCAATGAACTTACAGAACTTGATGAACTGGCTCTTACTACATCAGCCCCAGAACTTCGATTATTTATGTTTTCTACACAACTGGCTGCTATTAACCCAAACTCAACTAAATCTGGTTTACTGGTGACCTTGATTGAAGCAGCATGTGTAACTATGTCAGCAAATGTCTTTCCTAATCTATTGCCCGGCTCAGAGGGTGCTTGAATTCCTTGTGCATCTCCTCGATCCTGTAATAATGCGAAACAAAGTGCGAAAAATAAATC